CAGAGCACGGTGGAAATGTTGAAATGAAGGAAAGTAATGAAATGTGGTCGCTGTAACTAGAATGGCAATCTAAACCACATCAAAGCTTCTCAATAGAACAGGATAACTTTCTACAAAAAACATTTATACTAAATAGAAACATCGTGAACTTTACCAGTATACTATAGATGGGTAATCACAGGTTCTGTCAACAGGATTATGAAAACATATGACTAAATCATCACAGAAATGGCTAACCAAGTAAAACTAAATCTCCTCTGTTTGCTTCAGCCTTGTGAACGGTACAGGAGAGGTATAACCATTGAGATATTGATAAATATGTTTGATGGAACTAGGGTTGAAACAATCGGATTAATCCTGATTAATTGATTATTGAAATTATAGTCAACTAATTTAGTAACTGATTAATTGTTAACTGGAGTATAGAGAGTGAAAAGCATTTAGCTGACAGAGCAACCCACAGAGCAGTAATGATATTCAAATTGCAAAAAAAACAACACTTTTTGCATTTAAGATTAAAAAAAGAACAGGGGCCTTAGTCCTGGACGCGGCTGACCCAGGTCAGAATCCGACCTGTGGTCCTTTGCCGCATGTCTCTCCCTCTCTCTCATACCCCATTTTCTGTCAGCCTACTGTCCAAAAAACTAGTGCCGTAAAAACTCAAAACAAATAAATTTATAAATAAATAAAAAGTTTTCATCTGTAAATATGCTATCCAGAAGTCCTCAAATGGAAGTTTGAGTTTCACCTGGTTTAATTCTATAAAATAACTTTTTTAAGGAACCTTTGCCTATCTGATTATTAATCGATTGATCAAAATAAGTAATCCATGGATTAATCGATTTGCTAAATAATCGTTAGTTGCAGCCCTGAATCAAACCCAGCAGTTTGCAGAACAACATTATTCACTCAATATTTCTTCACTCTAAAAATACCTCACCTGGTTACAAGGGACTACTGATAGACTGCTTTGGAGACGGTTTGCTACTATATCCACAGAGCTGTGTGAAAGTCCATTCTGGCCTTGCTGCAGCTGGTTTGGGTTTCCCTGCAAATGTTCCTCTGTGACACTACTGCTGCTGTCGCTGTGGACGTGGTTGTTGTTACTGTTGGGACACTTGCTCTTCTGTGGCGAGGCAAAGGGGTTGTAGTCTCCTTCTAGGCTGCGGTGAGGCTGGGTGTTGAACTCGGCTTGGAAAGAGGAGAGCTGCTGTGTGACTCCAAGGAGGCCTCCGACCTCTACGCTCAGGATAACCCAAATGACATCTGACGGCACAAACAGATGGAATCACATCATCCACATATTCAGCACTTTTTTGTATTAAAACTGCTTGAATATATATCAGCTAATTGTAAATATAGCCCCCTACTATTAAAATTGGAGTCAGAGAAGCAGTGGTTTCCTTCCTGTCCTACATTATTCAGTAAAATGTATTGGTTATAATTTACCTCCTAAGCTCTACAAAGAGGTATTTTAGGCACCTGAATAGCTTCACTGAAATTAAAATTCAATTATAAAACAATTTATCTTCATGAAGAACTGCTGCTCTCACAAGCTACATATTATGATCGATTATACAAAACATACTCAAGGAACTCATTAGATTATTAATGAAATAATGTAAGGAATGGGTGTGATTTTTGAAAAAATCTAAAGAACAACCTGGGCTGTTGGAGCCAAGATGTTAGATTTTCATGTGGAGTGTGGATGTTATGCCTAGCAATAGACCTGGGTAAAAAAAACTGATTCAATTAATTACTTTAAATTTTTTCTGCAGGCAATAAAAAAAAAAAAGTAAATTATTATTATTATTTGTTTAATAACGGTGCATTTTCGGCTCCTCTAAGTTTCTGTAGCGGCAGTATTACTTCCAGGTTGCGGTTTTTTAAGCGATAGTGTCACACGAAACAGCAAACGACATCATAACTACAGGCGTGTGAGAAGTTTGTTCCCAAAAAAGCAATAAAGTCATCTGTTGTTTGAAAGTGCAGGGCTTAAAGTTCTCCAATGTAGTGAAATTGAGGCGGAGTGAACTCCATCAGCTGCTACTCCATGCGTGCTCCTGGTGTGCCACCTTGGCACGACACCGTCAAGGGAGGGGGGGATGGCCAGTTTATTTAGGTGCGGTTGTATTAGAATAAATGGGGTTGTGTATTGAAATGCATATTTTAAAAGGTTCCCAGTCCAGATAGCTAACAAGCTAGCTGTTAACAGAAGCAAGGCTGTTAATAGCTCGGCACGGTAGTGATGTGCTCCCCGCATAGCCAGAGACACGGTGCCCCGTTTGTACTTTTTGCTTTCCTTACTAGTTAGGGGGGAAACAAAAATAAAAAATCACTAAATTACCAACTTTGTTTGTCAGTGTGTATGGTTGTAAAGGGTTTGGAATGGAATAACAGGACATTTGTTTGCACTTTAAGGTCTGCTCTGATTGTTTTTGATACTATTACATTTGCTGTGGTTACTGGATCCAAAATCCACCAAATGTTTAATCAATACGTCTCATGTTCACACATAGGTCTGCGTAATATTCTCTAAAAAAAAAATGTAGCAGGAAATAAGCCTTTCACATATATTCATAATTATTGATGAGTGTTTTGTTTACCTATTTGAAATCAGGGCCAGGGAAAAAAAAAGCCAGAATTTTAATTGTAACATAACCCTATTAAAACATAACCTTTAACCTTAAATGAGGCCAGTTTTGCAACCAACTTTGCTTAGTTTGGCGGTGGGAGGCTAAATCCTTTCTTCTGCTTAAATTCCCGAGAAAACAAAATATTTTATTGGACATATTTTTTATTGATAACGGTTTGGTGTCTATCACAACACATGTTAATGCTGATTTAAAGCTCAGTGCTAAGTTCACAAGTTCCCAAAGATGCTGTTTGGAAAGCAGCTGCTGATCGTATTGATGCGGTAAATTTCACTGGTTAAAAATAAACAAGAACTTTGAAGTCCCAAATTATCGTACCCTTTCTTTGTTTTTATAACAAACATTAAAAAAACAACAGATAATTACAGGTGAGTCGTGAATGGCTTTCTACTTGAAAATACTTTTCTCTTAATATAACTAAACACAGAAAAACTCTTTGCTAATATCTCCACTAAACAATTTGCTTGAGTTTTTAATTCATTAATGCCAAATGATAAAATGATTGTTCTGGCAACAAAACGTATTTGAAATTCAACAGAACTTCCAGTAGAGCTGCTGATATTCTGCACTGTTGTTCTGCCAACAGTGTAGCTCTACCTTACATTTGCATGAAGAGCGGCTCACTTAGATCAGATTACTCAGGGAGAATTTTACTGGGAACATGGCAAAGCTCGCAGGCAGCGCATCAATGTTAAATCTTAATATTGCTGTTTTCTACTCTGTTTAAGGCCTTTTTGGAGCTTATTTCACAGTAAAAATGCTGATATCAAACAAATGATGACAAACAGTGCAGGAAGTTGCCATCAGGCAATAAGCAGTTGCTGTAGAGTAGGTGTGCTGTCCTCACCTCCGTAGTAAAGTCCTGTAGCTGTGCACATTCTCCACTGACCCTGGTACATGCCAGGAGAGACAGGGCTATGCATCTGCACGCTGACATCAGTCATTTCCTGGGGGTCTAAAGAGCGCACCATTACCATGTTCACGTGACCAAACTGATCACCTCCCACATACTTCAGAGAAACCCCAGGCGGCCATGACTCTGCACCTGGAAGGGATGCAAACAAATGAACAGCTCATTTGACAATTGACAGCATTTTGTGTTGGAATGATTTTGACTCATTCTTTGCCACTTATTACAGAAAGGGCTCTAACATCAGCCATTTCTTAATTCACAAGAACGCGAGTACGGATTCATGTCCTTGCCAAGTATGTTCTTGAGAAAAACAGAGGAAAGTGTGGACTTGGGGAGAACGGGAGCACGCAGAAAAACGGCTGGTTTCTACTCAGAAACCAGGTCGTCTGCGTGTGTGTCGCAGTTAACACAGATATGCCCCCGCCCCTTCCACAGACACTCTGCTGCACCTCTCCAAAACTGCAGGTGACCGCAGACAGGAGGCCTCTGATTGGTCAAATCTACATCCTTTATTTAGATACCTTTATTTTGTTTGAAAAACGAGGTAAAAAGGTAGAGTCAGAAATCGTAAAACTTAAGGTCCAAAGCGTGATCTAAGAGGGTCAAGAGACTGAAGAATCCATCCAATTCTAGCTTAAGATAGCTGAACCAATGTGCATTTATCTCTTTTCTATCTTTTAGAAAATGAGAAGAAAGGACCAAAAACTGTCTTTATGCTTAAATTAGATCCTTTGCAGACTTAAAGAATGGCCAGCCGTGAGTGGATCCAGCTGGCTTACCTGTGTTCTGTATTCTCCAAGTCTTTGTAAATGGTGTGTCAGGTGGAACAGATTCACCCTCGCCGATTGTCACATCCTTCACAAAGGACATGCAAGGTGCGCTGAAATTCGGGCTTTCAAAGTCATAGTAAGCTCCTATGGCAGCCTGTAGGTTCCTAGATTATATAAAGAGAAGAATGGCAATAAAAATATTAAGAAACTAATACAGATTTATAACCAAAACCATACTTCTGTGATTTAGCAGCAGCAGTTCACACAGAACAAGAACATTAAAGTTAAAATGAGAGTACTCCAAGTTAACTAAAATCCTTTTTTTCTTTTTGTTTGTTATGGATGAATCATTTAGTAATTTTGATTTCATTTAAAATTGCATTGGTGGGTTTCACTCTATTCATCTTCACCTCCAGCAGAATTGTATCCCAAGTGCATAATACTGCCACCACCATGTTTTACAATGGTGTGTTCAGGCGATGTTTCGTGTATGCTATGCACCGCCTTGGATTTTATTTAGAGGCATGTTAGCAAACGTTGTTGAAAACAGATTTTTGTTACAGTTATACGATTTTGATTTGTGGCGATATTAGAGAATGTATCTTTTTAAAATTCTGATCAAAATAATGATGTTTTGTGATTATGTTGTGTATCTAGAAAAGATCAAGACTTTTACAAGGTACTTAAAACTATATAAACTCCTTCTAGGACGATGCTTGCCTCTTTTAAAGCTACATTTAGGACGAGAGATTAGTTTTAGGGATAACTTCAAGACACATTTATTTTCGTTCTTCCACAAAAAGCACTGAGTAGCTGACTTCTGGGTTTAAAAACAAGCAGCCAGAGGAAGTCAGATCAATTCAAACAGCAAAAACATATTTCCCATTTAATGTCAACGACATCAGAAATCTTTTTAACTCATCCTCTTACGAAATGAGTTTAGATTGAAAAGCGGAGAGCCGCTTCTAGATTATGTAATAAATGAGGCGATCACTTGGGTTGTATTTGCAACAGATATGTCATAATAATGTAATTGTATTTTGAATCCTAGAATATGTCAGGGAGGAAATTCGTATAATTTAAGAGAATAATATAATGAAAGCAGTATGTTTAAGGGCCATGTAAACACTGCCGGACAGTGTCCCTGGAACGTCACACACTGACTCAGCTAGTTACGTTACTACAGCGTCGTTAGCCGTTCCTGCTAATACGTCCAAACGATAGTGTTCTTTGTTAAGTCAATGAAATGTATCACTTTTTTTAATTAACCGTTTCCCCTTTCGTATTAATACACTTCGTGCTGCGTGATATGCTAAACAGAAAGCTAGCTAAATGTCTGTACATTTTCTCCCACACCCAGCTCACAGCAGGCCCCAAACGAATCCCCGAGCTCACCAGTTGGTCATGTCCAAGAAGAAGGCGCATCCGGCGGGGTTCAGCTGGAACCCAAGGAGCCTCTGAAATTCCGATATTAAAATGTCTTTATCTGTTGTGCCCATGCAGCTGAATTTCTGCATGAGCTCCTGGTCCAGGTCCAGGTCCAGGTCCATGCCCTCCATGACAGAGAAGCCTGGGGTGAAGACAGGGGCGGCCGTGCTACTAATTTACACCGAGGCCTCGACTTTTCATAACAAACTGTGAAGCAGGGCCCAGTGCGCATGTCACATGACTGGAGCCTGCGAGTGAGCGAACAGAGAAATACAACAACAACACATTATTGGCTATTCTCTACAACAGTTCACTGCAGCAATGACATGAGGAACCCTAATCTTTTAAATAGAATCCAAATTACTGAAAAAAATAATATAAATATATGTGTATGATCAAGTCACACGTATTAGTACGAAAGAAGATTAGGGCCACTGGAAAAAAAAAAAAAAACTTACTGATTTTATTTCAGTATAATATGAGAAAAAAAAGTCAGAATTCTAACTTAATCTCAGAATTATGACTTTTTTCTCAGAATTATTACTTTTCACTCAGAATTATGACTTTAATGTCAGAATTCTGGCTTTATTTTCTCAGAATTATGACTTTAATCTCAGAATTCTGTCTTTTTTCTCAGAATTCTGACTTTAATCTCAGAATTCAGACTTTAATCTCAGAATTCTGTCTTTTTTCTCAGAATTCTGACTTTAATCTCAAAATTATGAATTTTTTCTCAGAATTCTGACTTTTTTCTCAAATATCTGACTTTTTTCTCAATATTCTGACTTTTTTTTCCTCAGCATTCTGACTGTTTTCTCAAATTTTTGACTATTTTTTTCTCAGAATTCTGAAATTTTACTCGGAATTCTGACTGTTTTCTCAAATTTCTGACTTTTTTTTCTCAGAAGTCTAACTTTAATCTCGGAACACTGACTTTAATCGAAGATTTTGGATCTTTATGTAGATGGGCACCATGAAGACATGTGGGAGCACTCAGCTTCACTGACAAAAATGTGAGTTGTTTGGGAGAAAAATGACAAAACTAGGCCACTTTTTACGTGCCTGAGGGGTCCCCGGTGATGCTATTTCATTAATGGAGGAGCAGAAGGTGATTAAAAAAAGAGAGCTAGTCTCTAAAACAGACATGGCTACAGCTTGATGCTAACATGTTTGTTACCTTTCAAAATTCAGTCAGAATTCTGAGAAAAAAGTCAGAAGTCTGAGATTAAAGTCAGAATTCTGGAAAAAAAAAGTCTTAATTTTGAGTTTAAAATCAGAATTCTGAGATTAAAATCAGAATTCTGACTTATTTTCCCATATAAAACTAAAATAATATTTAAAAATCAGTTAACTTTTTTGTAATTTTTTCAGTGGCCCTAATCCTCTTCCGTATATTAGAATAAATCCATACATTTAATAATATAATTTTAAGAAATCGAAAATAGATTTTTGTTTTCATATTTATTGGAACCTCAAAGTGTGATGGTATGATAAAGAACAGGTTCATTTAAGAAATTGTAAAGTTATTCCAAGTTGTATCAGCACTCCAAAAAAATGATATTTGTCATGGGTTGGATATGTGTTTTAGAAATCAGCTATATCGTTAATCAACGAGTGTTCATTTATGAATTTATTTATGAATGCTATTTAACATTAGTGTGGAGGACCAACTCTGCCGCATTCAGACACACTCTAAGACAGAGCCCTTCCTAATTTATATATTGAGGCAGAAATGCATACAGAAATGTAAAAATGACAGGCAGAAATAAATAGCGCTAAATAAATAAATAGGGTAAAAAAAAATACAAAGGAAGAATAAAACAGACAAAAATATCACATGCACATAAATAAATAAATACCTAAAAAATAAGTAGTAAATGAATAAAGTTGAAGATTATAATGGACAATAAATAAATAAGGCAATTATTACAAAGGTGAATAAATAAAGAAGCTAATTAAAAGAGATATGTACAATTGTATAATTTAATTTCTACCTACATTTATTTGTTTATTGTTTTTTGGGGGGCAATTATTGTATGCTTATTTATTTATTGAGCATTTATTCATTTATGTATTTATTTTCAAATATGGCATAGTTGGTCCTCCATACATTATGAGTTATTGAGAAACAATTTGAGACAGTTTTTATTAATCTGTCCACATTAGATCAATATATTGTAAAAGAATGATGTACTTTTAAATTGACTAAGTAAAGTAAATAAAACGTTGATATGAATTTAACTTTGCTGCGAATTTCCCGTAGGTATTTTAATTTTAACATCAAATACAGCAACTGATAAATGTTACTGCATTTACATCAAACATCCGTTAGGTGGCAGCATTGTGTAATAGCTGCTGTCCCATGTTTTTTTTCCCCCCTTCTTTTCTTTAAGCTCGCGAGCTCAGTGTTTGCGTGCGCGTGAGCCTTGGGGTTTAGCTGCTGCTGTCCGGTGTTTAGCGAAGAGGTAACAGCCGCTAACAAGATGCAGTCAGTTATCGCCATGTACCACACGAAGGAAACTGACAGCTAGTCTTTGGGTACTTAGTAAAGCCACCGACGGTTTTACGTCATATACACTAGTCCTCAATGGCAGGGATTATTAAAAAGCAGATTCTGAAACATTTGTCAAGGTAAGTGTTTTTTTTTTTTATGTTAGCCAGCTAGCCCATTTCGGTATTAAATTGTAGTAACGTTACTGTTCCTGTGTATCATGTTCCTTTAGCTTAAACAGGCATTAAACAAACGTCAGCGTCAAAAATAAGAGTGGAAAGACTTAACGGGGTCACGCAGCAGACGTCTCCTAAACACCTATCTGTTTATTCTCATCACTTCTGCCTTGTTTTGTGTAGCCTATTTATCCAAACTGACTTAACAACGTAGGTAACTTCAATCTGTAGACCTCTATGTAGGACACTTGGGTGTCATTTCAAATGAATGATTGTTTTAAGTGCTTGTTCATGCATTTGCAGGTCATTTGCTGGGATTGGTTATATTTCTGCCTAAGAAACAGAGGTGTCTGTGCTCTGATTTACCAGCATTCATTTTGTTGCTCCTGTTCTATGATAGGATTGAATCTGATTAGCCATCAGTGTTTTTCTTCAGGCTGGACTCCAGTGCAGAGGTTTAGCAGACCTGCTCACTGTTATGCCTCCCTGTCATCACTGCTAGGAAAATCCCTTCTTCAGGGCCATGTGGCTCTTCATCCAGGGTGTGTCTGCATCTGTGGTGGATTTAGGTGACACTTATTAGGGAGGCAAAGGATGGGCATGTTTTTTCATGAGGCCACAGACCCCCCTCCCAAAAAAAATACGGATAGAATATGTCATTTAGTATATTTAGTGAGCCACAAAGATTGCAAACTCCTGATCTAACAAATAAAAACAGGGCATGTCTTAAAGATCAGAGTAAATGTGACTCTAATTTGTAAATAACTGTTAAAGTGAATAGTAAAAGTGAAATATTAAATTGGTCCAAGTGATTAATTAGTGACACACTACAAAGGTTGTCCACCTAACCAATTCTTACAAGTTTTAAATCTAGCCAAAAAGTTATGTTTTTTTTTTAGATTGATATACTGAGAAAGAGCAGATTCTGTTAGACGATTAAATTCCTTTGTGAAGACTCTATAAAAAATATACAAAAAAAATAGGTGCAATATTCTGTCAAAGCAGTCACAGTGCACTTTGTGAGACCTCTTGGTGTGATAATACAGGGTTTTCACCGGTCATTAAAAATCATTAAAAGTCATTACATTTTTTTTTTTTAATGAAAGCCTTAATTGGCAGCTGTGGAAAATGTGATTATAGTGGCATTTAAAATGCTTTATTAAAAAAAAAACAGGTTTATACAAACAATTTCGTCAGATATATTATATCAGATATAACTGGTTCCGCATGTTTGCACAGAACAGCTTGCAGTTGATCGTAAAGCCGCGTGTAACATCCAAGAAAAAGCTAGAGAATGTCTGGAAAAACTAGGAATTTGGGTCACGAATCAGGGGTACTTGTTGATGGCATTGAAATTATTTCTAAGAACATTAAAAGAGCGTTAAAAATCATTCAATTAAGAGTTACTCATTCCTGTATAAACCCTGTTATATATAAATATTCTCAAAACAAAGATATCAATCTCAAAACAAGATCAGAAATGCCTTTAGGCCAGAACTAAGATTGTTAGGTTTGGTTAGATAGTCACTTCCTGCAGTGATATCCTTTCTGTTAGCGCATATCATTGTGAGAATTTCATTTTGTTGTACACTGCAAAAGCGGATGAAAAAAAAGTTTAACTTTTTAAAAACCAGTGCATTTGTCTGTAAACTGAGCAGGTAAATAAGATGATCTGCCGATGAATAAGAAAGTAACATATTTTCCACCTGAAATAATATAGTGGAGTGTTTTTTTTTATGTTGGTCACTTTACATTGGTAAATTGTCTTACCTACCTTCCCAAATCAATTGGAAATTTTGAGAAAGGTTGGCTTACATTTTAATATTTGTAGTGTATGTTTTTAGCACAGGGGCTAGGACCAGTTCTACAGAGGGCTGGTCACTCTGTCTGGAACCGCCCATGGGAGACATTAGTGTTGCCCAAAATTAGTTCTCGGGCCTATTTGCATGCTGAGCAGCTTTTGGCTTCGTTTTATGCACTGCGCACACTTTATAAGATAAGAAGGGAGAATATAAATATGTAATATAGATTTATTTGCTAAGTGATTCTTAAAAATTATTCAGCAGCATAGCTGAATAATTTTTTTGGTGTTTGTAAAATGGACAAAATTTTCTGAAATCTTTCAGAAAAGATATGGGATTTTGAAATAAATAAGATGTATGACCTAAACACACATAATTTATAGTTTGTCTTTAAGCCTTCCAAGACGCTTAATAACTTACTATTAAAATGATGTGTAGATGAAAAATGGAGCAACCAGAACATGCTGAGAATTCAGCCCAAGGAATAGGGGTTTTTAAAAAATGTTTTTTGAAAACCCCCTTTAGTTTTCTGGAGACTTTCTCTTCCTCTGACTTTATTTCATTCTGTATTTGAAGCGTCCTCTCAGGGGAAAACTGATCTTACCGTGGTGTGTTAGTCTTCCCCTTTTAGGTCTGGTTTTTACATACATTTATATATGTATATGTGTGTGTGTGTGTGTGTGTGTGTGTGTGT